ATGAAAAAAAAAATGGACGACGACGTGATAACAGGAGACCTCCAGCAGCGGATCTGCACGGCAGCGGAGATGAGGTTCTACTTCGACAGCCTGATGGGCGGCGACGACACGGCGGAGACCAACTACGTGAAGCCCAACGTGAACTGCAACCGGTCGTCGTGGATCGACGGGTGCGAACCCGGCTGGGCGTGCAGTGCCGGTCCCGACCAGAAGATCGATCTGCAGAACTCCAAGGACATCCCGTACAGGCCGCTCAAGTGCCAGTCCTGCTGCCCAGGCTTCTTCTGCCCCCATGGCCTCACCTGCATGATCCGTAAGATCACCTCTTGCATTGCATTTGTTCCCATCCATCTCAGTGCAACTGAATGAAGATGCATCCATATTTCTATGCAGCTTGCCCTCTGGGTGCCTACTGTCCACGGTCCAGCCTGAACACTTCCACAGGCATCTGCGACCCGTAAGTCCGACGATCCACACATAGAGCGAGCTAGAATGTCTTTTAACTCTCAAGGTGAATTCATTCATGCATATGATATGATGCATTGCAGGTACAGCTATCAGCCGCCGCCCGGAAACCCGAACCACACCTGCGGAGCCGCCGACATCTGGGCGGATGTGGTCACAGCAGATGATATCTTCTGCCCTGCTGGATTCTACTGCCCCAGCACTATACAGAAGCTCCCCTGTAGTAGTGGGTAATCCTATCTATCTAATGTTTTCCAACCTTCTTACAATTAATTCCCTTCCTTTGTTGAAGCATCTTCTTCTTCTTCTTTTAATCCCACCACCCACTTTGAGTATGGGTTCTCAGTTCTCACTAATTATATAAATATAATAAATGCTGACAGTATAAGGTGCATTTTTATTTGCAGGTATTATTGCAGGAAGGGGTCAACCTCACAGACTAGTAAGCCCAGTCTTGTTCACAGAGATGGAAATCCTGACCATCAATATCAGCTCCTTTTGTTTCATTCAAGCCCATCCACTCCTCCTAAATCCACTGCTGCTCACCTTACTGCAGGATGCTACAAGAAGAGCTCTTGCCCACCAAACTCTGCTACTCAGGACATCACTATATTCGGCGCGCTGCTTGTGGTACATGCCACTACATCACTAGAATGGCGATGATATCTCCTGGTTCCTGTAGTCCAATGTTGTCATTGCCCCTTTGTTGTTCTTCAGGTTGCATCCTGCTTAGTCCTTCTTATCATCTACAACTTCTCCGGCCAAATCCTGACCAACCGCGAGAAGAGGCAAGCGAAATCTCGAGAGGCCGCCGCAAGGCATGCGAGAGAGACCGCACAGGCTCGAGAGAGGTGGAAGTCAGCTAAAGACGTCGCCAAGAAGGCGGGCGTGGGACTGCAGTCGCAACTGTCCCGCACCTTCTCGCGCAAGAAGGCTGGCCAGGCACAGCCCGGACCGTCCAGGGTAGGAGACGCAGGTGGGAAGAAGAACAATCTTACTGACATGATGCGCTCCATTGAGGATAACCCAGAGAGCGATGAGGGGTTCAACCTGGAAGTAGGAGACAAGGCCCTGAAAAAGCCCACGGGGAAACAGATGCACACCCGGAGCCAGATCTTCAAGTACGCGTATGGTCAGATCGAGAAGGAGAAGGCCATGCAGCAGGAGAACCATAACATGACCTTCTCAGGCGTTATATCCATGGCAAAAGACCATGATGTCAGTACGAGACCATCCATTGAGATCGCCTTCAAGGACCTAACTCTGACATTGAAGGGCAGCAAGAAGAAGCTCTTGAGATCAGTGACAGGGAAGCTCTCACCTGGTAAGGTAGCTGCCGTCATGGGCCCGTCTGGCGCAGGGAAAACCACGTTTCTGAGCGCCATTGCCGGTAAGGCAACCGGGTGTGGAACATCGGGTCTGGTATTAATAAATGGCAAGATCGAACCGATTCGAGGGTACAAGAAGATCATTGGCTTTGTTCCCCAAGATGACATCGTCCATGGCAACCTAACTGTTGAAGAAAACCTCTGGTTCAATGCAAGATGCAGGTACAGGCTGCAAATCCGAGTAGAGTCCTTTCACTAGTTCTCGACTTTTTAAGCTGCTATTATTACTTGATGAACTCACATATGATAAACTGATGCGTTTCAGGCTGTCAGCAGACATGTCGAAAGCCGATAAGGTCCTCGTCGTGGAAAGGGTCATCGAGTCCCTTGGGCTGCAGCCAGTTCGAGATTCTTTGGTTGGGACGGTAGAGCAGCGTGGCATCTCTGGTGGCCAGCGCAAGAGAGTCAATGTCGGCCTCGAGATGGTGATGGAGCCGTCGGTGCTGATCTTGGATGAGCCGACGTCTGGTTTGGACAGCGCCTCCTCCCTGCTTCTGCTCCGCGCCCTTCGTCGTGAAGCTCTCGAAGGCGTCAACATCTCCATGGTCGTCCATCAGCCCAGGTTGGTCTCCGGACTCCGAATCTGAACATGTACTAGCTAGGTCGCTTGGTGCAGTCAAGTTTCTGGTTGATGATGGATCAATAACTGATGCTTGTGCTGTTTCAGTTACACTCTCTACAGAATGTTTGATGACCTGATACTTCTAGCCAAAGGGGGCATGACGGTGTACCATGGGCCCGTGAAGAAGGTGGAGGAGTACTTCACAGGGCTGGGCATCGTCGTGCCAGAGCGGGTGAACCCACCAGACTACTACATCGACATCTTGGAGGGCATTGTGAAGCCCAACTTAAGCCCAGGTGTCAGTGTGAAGGATCTGCCGATCAGATGGATGGTGCACAACGGGTACGATGTCCCGCGGGATATGCTGCAGAGTTCTTCACAATCAGAGTCGACGTCCAGGGGAAGCATGGATCATGCTTCGAGCCACGACGATGCAGCGCCATCCATTGTTTCAGTACTCTGGGGCAACTTCAAGGATATCCTCGGGCAGAAGAAGGATGAGTATGATTACAACAAGACTTCAGAGGATTTGTCGAAACGTAAGACTCCCGGCATCCTGAGGCAGTACAGATACTTCCTAGGAAGGTAAGGCCCTCTTGTCTTGCCTTCAGAAGATATAAGACTTTGTGAAATTTTATCAAGTGTGTCAAACTAGACTTCATGGCTTATGATGTAGCCATTCTTCTTCAGGTGCGGCAAGCAGAGGCTCCGTGATGCCAGGATACAGGGAGTTGACTATTTGATCCTTTGTCTTGCCGGTATATGCCTGGGAACACTGGCGAAAGTGAGCGACGAGACGTTTGGAGCGCTGGGATACACTTACACTGTCATTGCTGTCTGTAAGTATGAAAAGCTCTCTGAACAATGCTGTTTGCTTTTTTCTGATAGCACACTTCAGCCAAGTGATGCACCCAAAATGTGGCTGCAGCTCTGCTCTGCAAGATCGGAGCCCTGAGATCGTTCACGCTGGACAAGATAAACTACTGGAGGGAGAGAGCCTCCGGGATGAGCTCCCTGGCCTACTTCATGTCCAAGGACACCATAGATCACTTCAACACCATTGTTAAGCCCATTGTCTACCTCTCCATGTTCTACTTCTTCAACAACCCAAGGTCGTCCATCTGGGAGAACTACATTGTCCTCCTTGCACTTGTCTACTGCGTCACTGGCATCGGCTACACCTTCGCCATCTTCTTCCAGCCAGGTTCTGCACAGCTGGTGAGTCATCTGTGTATTGTGTATGCTTTACTTGCTCGATATGTCTCAGGAGCCAGGTTCACTTAGAGCCAGAACTATCCTAATAACACATATGGTGTGCTTGCAGTGGTCTGCTTTGCTTCCAGTGGTTTTGACTCTGATAGCAACACAGCAGAAGGACACGATCCTTGCCGATCTGTGCTACACAAAGTGGGCTCTGGAAGCCTTTGTCATTGCAAACGCTCAGAAGTATGTATGGCTCAGCTCATCCTGTTTGATGACTATCATATGGATTCAGATTCAACTGGCCATAGCAACACCGCAACCTGATAAAAACACACCATTTCTGTTTTCCCTCTGGTTGCAGCTATTCCGGAGTGTGGCTAATAACAAGGTGTGGCTCGCTGGTCAGGAGCGGCTACGACATTGAGCACGAGGCTCTCTGTATAGCGGTCCTCATTGCTAATGGGATACTCTTCCGCTGTGTAGCATTCTTCTGCATGGTCACCTTCCAGAAGAACTAAAAAATCAAGGAAAACCCATAAACTTTCTATGCCCATGTAGCAGGTCCGTTTCGTTAATTTCAGTGTGATAGGATTGTAGATTAATTTCAGTCCCAGGTGTGATGAGGAGAGATTGAATAGATTAGATGCCCCCTTTAGTTGGCAAAATTTTTGGTACAGTCCCAGGTGTAGATGAGGAGAGATTCTTGAATTTCGTCTAAATAATTAGTTTTATTTTTATTTATATTTAATGCTGTCAGGGATGCCTTGAAAATTACATTTTGAGTGGAACTAAACAGTTTTTTTTTCATTTTCAGGCTAGCTGAAACATCAGGGTTCACTTGCTTACCGTCAATGTAAATTTGATATGCAAATTCAGTGTATGTATGAGTATGACAACTAATTATGAAATTTGTAGCTCTTCACTTGAAAACAGTTTTCTTACTTTCAGCACGAGTTAAGTTACAGCAGAACTTAGCGCATTTAACTCTAAATAATCATAGCAATCTGTAAGCTCGTAATAGGAGCATATTTAACCACACACAAAACACGAATGCTCTGATACACAACTGAGTACAGAATCAGAATGTGGGTAGTTCACAAGAGACTCACCATATTCAATTTATGTGGGCTTACAGCTCCTGGATCCAGTTTTTGGTATAAAAAAAACTACACTGCAACAGAATCACAACAGCACGTATTTGATGGACTTGAGAGCTACACATGACAAGCCATGAAGTTGAGCACAACTGCTGGGGCAATAGTTAAGGTAGGCTTCTACATGTACTTTTTTTTCTTGAACACATAGGTGAACTGCGCATCTTTATATTAAAGAGAGGCTTCTACAGGTACTTACTCGACCAAACCCTATCATTAGGAACAATACTAACTTTGTTCAGAAGGCCCCTTAGAACTGACCTGAGACCCAGCCAAGTCGTCCAAAGTAAAGTTGAGAGTATCCGTTGAACCTTTCTTCACCTCCTCTCCTTGCGTCGCTAGGAAGTCCTCAATGCTCCCTGGCTCCCCGAACCATCCAAGCCTATCTGCTATGAGGTGGAGGTTGTTGCAGCCACCGCACCGCACAACCACAACTCCATTCTGGTACGAGTCCTTGCTGGCCATCTTCATAGATCTGGTCTCGCACACCTTGCATGTAAAGATCATGGCGAGGTCATGCCTTGGTGAGATCTTCAGGTTGGAGGTGTCCCTGACTTTGAATCCGGGCTCTGGTGTCGGGACAGAAGCCGGTGGGGGATTTCTTTCGGAGTCCTGTTGATCCTGGGGATCTGTTGCAGTTGCAGTATTGCTCGCTCTGGTAACTGTTAGGAGGGACCTTAGCCCGGCACTTGCAGGTGGAGGAAATGAGAATCCTGCAATGACATGAGTTTCCAGTTCAGTGCTTAGCTAATCTGCTTTGCAAAATTGTAAAACAGCTATGGTACAGGTACACTCAAGGATGAAGCAGTAACCACAAATAAACATTTGTGCTCCCAAGTCACAACTAGGAAGTCGGTGTTTATTATTGTAACAATTATCGTTAGCGCTTTGTGAAAGCAGGGTAGTAGCAAAGCATGAATTGAACACAGCATGAATTTTTAGATTTGTTGAACCTATGTTTAAGGACAGCATACATGGCACACAAAACTTTCAGCCACAAATCCAAACCAATCAATCCTTAGCCTGAGCTTAGTGCCATCAACCTAAATAAACCAACCCTGAATTAATTTCACCAGCTTTTAAAGGGACGTAGCTAGGAGTATATATACGAGTAAATATAACATTAGGAGCAGTTGTCCTGGACGAGGCGAACGCCTGGATCGGTGCGGGCTACGGATGCCTGGCGTTGCTCACAGCTATGGCTGCTTAATACCTTGCTGTGCTCCACCTCCACCTTGTCGCGCCATCAGTTTTTTAGTTAGTACAACCTTACTTCCCCACCACTAGTTGGTGATTTGTGTTCCGTGTTCCTCTAAGATGTGAACGGCTCCTCGCCGTGACTATCCTTGGAGCTTGTAAAACTTCCCACTTCCACTTAATGAAGCACGTGCTAATGCACGCTTTCGGGGAAAAAAAAGTGTGGCCATCAGACAGAGCAATGCAAGATTTTGGTCTCTACAGTGTTAGTCAATAAAAGGCACAAGGTGGAGACTGCTCTCGTTGAGTGAGTCTATGTTAAACATACGGAGCTTGCTTGCAAAAATTAAGGCACACATCAGAGATAGGGATTCCTCTCGCAAACCCAAAACAATTCTGAGCAGCACAGCCTAAAGCAAACCCCAGTTAAGTCTTAAGACGGACGGGAGAGAGAAAGCTGGATGGATCACAAGCAAGCCATGAACCGTGAATTGATAGATACTATAGCTCGGAGCTCCCCTCCCCATCCGAGGAGCTGGAGGAGACGCGCGAGCGCAACTAATAGGCAGCTAACCGAGGGAGAAACAGAGGAGGGCAAAGATGTGGGGATGGGATGGGGCTACCTCGGTGGGAGTAGGGAGCAGGCGATCCGGCAATTGCGGCGGCGAGGAGGCGGCGTCGGAGCAGCGGAACCAGACGGGCGGCAGCCATGGCGGCGCAGAGAAGGCTGTAGAAGAGGAAGAAGCTCCCTGCTTGGAAATTGGAATTGGATTGCCGAGGAAGAAAGAAAGAGACAGAGCGCGGCCGTGGTACGTTCTGGGCTTTCTGATGGGCCTTCCTTGACTACAAATTACATTGGGCTCTTAGAGCAAGGTCAATAATAAAGCTAAGTAGTTCTTCCTCAATGCCTCAAAAAAAAAAAGAGTAGCCCTTCCTCAAAAAAAAAAAAAAACTAAGTAGTAGTTTCTTAAAAAAAAGCCAAGTTAGCTATAAGTCAAATTTTAAACGGTAATGCCTGGGCGTCCAGACGGACGGACACGGCTTCCAAAAATTTCCCCACTCGCTATCGCGTCGTCCGCTCGCTCCATTCGCGCCGCCTACCTTCCCTACTCTGCCTCCACCACGTCGCCCGCCTTCCCCACTCCACGCTCCACCGCGTCGCCCGCCTCCACCGCGTTGCTCGCTCGCCTTGGCCACTCCACCGAGTCGGTGAGCCTCCACGACAGATGCTCCAGCAAGTAGGCGATGGGAAGAGCTTCGTGTGATGCCGCGCCACCGCCATCCTCCGCGTCGGCGTCGAGCTCTGCAACGACGAGCCTCCATTTGTCCAAGCAGAAAGGTGAAATTATGCTGAAAGCGCATGTTGCAAGTGTATGTTTCAAGTATTTCAGATGTTTCATAGGTAAGTTGCAAGTGTTTTATATTGATGTTGCAAAAGTAGATCGGGATGTTGCACATGTTATAATGACTATACACATATGTTTCAAGTGTATGTTCCAAATGTTTCAGACGCATATTGCAAGTGTTTCATCTAGATGTTGCAAAAGTAGATCCGGATGTTGCAATACCGTATGTTGAAAGCGTATGTTTCAGGTGTTTCATACGTATGTTGCATGCATTTCATCTTAATGTTGCATATGTTTTGCAATGGCTACACACGTGTTTTCAAGTTTTGTTCTGGCGTTTTTCGCAAGTGTTTCAGATGTATGTTGCAAATGTTTCAGTTGTTTTTTAGACCTATGTTGCAAGTTGTTTTATCTGAATGTTCTAAAAGTAGATCTGTTGCTGCACATGTTGCAATGGACCCACTACCATGACCGCTTCTCTTTGCTTTTTAGGGGGCGCCACCGTGGGTCATCGTCTGGGAGAACCTAAGGCCGCCGACGATTGTCTGCAAACCACGCCATCCATAAAGGGGGCAGGTGGCTGGGACCCACATGGGTTCTGCGTCTTGGCGCCAGCGATGGTCGGCGAAAAGAGAGAAGCGCGATGGTAGGGCGGTATGCAACGTGGGGTCCACGTGGTGGCGCGTGCAAAAACATATGGCAGGGGCTCCTTTCACGTGCAGCGTGGCCTCTCGTGTGAAGGACCTGAGGCGTCCAATATTTTGGAGCGGCTCTGGACGTCCGGGCCTAGCAATGTCCAATTTTAAAAGCTAAATTATATAATAGTGTTATCTTATTTTCTACAATTTTTTAGTATATGATATCATATCTCACATTCTCTTTCCTATTTCCTTCGCACATACACTTTTATCTCGATCCACCAATGTCTAGACTCATGTGTCCAACATGCATGTTAGGGCCTCTTTGATCTCCTCCTCTAGACTTTAGAGCTCTAAAATTTAGAGCTAAAGTCTCCAGATGGTCTAAAGTTAGCTCTAAACTTCTGCCGAGTTTGTCCCTCCACTTGATCCTTGGCGTTGTCCGTGCGTGGGTCCAAGGAGGGGAGGTGTAACTCGACACCATAAATTGAAAACTGTTGGTTTCTTTAACCTTGGTTCAGGAGCTGACCGGGAGAAATGATTTCTTCCTGTTTTAGGGGTGTTTGGCAGAGCTTCACGCAGCTATAAATCCTAAAAAACTGAGTTGTTCCTAATTTTTTTAGCGAAACACCCCATCTCCACGAACTTCATATCCGCCAAAAATTTGGATCTAGCTCCCAATTCCACAAAATCCATGGAGCACCTCAAGCGTGCTCTGAAAACTCTAATTTCATGTAGTTGGTAAAAATATCCATCATTGTCACTCATTACACAAACATATCAGTTCGATCCATTATTCTTTCTCTCTCGCTATTTCTATTTCTCGTCGTGTGCGCCGCTCACCACGTACACCCCCGTCGTCTCGCGCTCGCGTCCCCAGCTAGCAGGCCACCATGGTCATTAGAGCCCGACCTTGGTCTACCACGCGTCCCTGGCTGATGCCCCACCATGGCCCTAGGCCGAGGACCTTGTGTTTTTTTTTATTTTAGCCTATGGTTATGTTTTCATAATTGCATATGAGTCTATATCAAAACTGGAGGTCTACCAAATGGTTTGGTGGGAGCTAAGATCCACCAGAGTGCCACTTAAAATGCCCCACCATGGCCACACGCGGGAGGAAGAAGTTGTGTTTTTTTAGCCTATGGTTATGTTTTCATAATTGCATGAGTCTATATCAAAGCTGGAGGTCTACCAAATGGTTTGGTGGGATTAGATCCACGTGAGCAAGCTCGGTGGAGCAGGTCTTCTTTGAGTTGTTGAGGTGGCAGCTGATGCCCGTGAACAGACTCTTACTCTCATTCTGCTTTAATTGAATGCAACACTGCAGATCATTAATGCTTTGAAAATGTTCCATTGAGACTACCCTTATTTTATACTAATTAAGTATACTTCATGTTTGTGATTAGAGGACGTGGGCAATCCCGGACCAGGTCTTCTTTACAGTTGAGTTGGCAGCTGATGAAAGTGAGAATGGGTAATAAGAAGGTAAAAGGACCAAGATGTAGCACTCTCGCTCGCGCCATTTCAACCAAATGCATTCATCAGCAGAGATTTTGCTTATCTAAAATATGAATTTATTTCATATATGATCATCTGTTGTGATTCTTCTTTCAAACTAACGACCGAGCTGGATAATCATACATGAGATGTTCTTTTAAACTAGTACGAGTAATATAATAAGGGCTTTGTTGTGGTACCTCCAAATGATTGTGAACCCTTTCATTTAATTAGATCGGATGGCTATGGTCATCTATTACTTACTACGAAGTAATATGTGAAATATTTATTTATTTAATTTTTAAATTTTATAAAACAGGATAATAAATAAAAACTTAGATATAAAGAACATTTTTAGATCTTATTGATGTCTATTGGATGCACTAAATCTTTTTTTTGTAACTTTAGATATGACAAAATTTAATTAATATAAACTATTTTTATGCAAATAACCGGTGGCGCACATTGGGCACACGTGAAACATTGAATACGTGCCAACAAACGTTCATGGTTCAATTAATATGTTAGTTGCTGATATTTTCATGTATGTAACATATTTTTTTCAACTAAATTTGTAACTTAACCAGTGTACAACTTTAACATAACCTGGACACGCGCCCATGAAAAACTAGGAAGGGAATGGTACGCATGGAAAAGGAAGGGGAAGCCCGCAGGCTTCTATGTCCCCGTGATGTGGGGATTTGACATAATCCTTTTTTCTTTCGATATGACACAAGTTTTTTTACTCCCATAAGACAAGTGCAGTATATCCTCTAGTTCAATTACTTTAGCTTCGTCGCCACTGATTCACCACTTATTGGGTGTAGTAGGCACCCCATGGTATTGGATCCATGTCGCCCTCAGGCTCAAGTTTAATCGTCATTCAATTTGTTCTCTTCTTTCCGCATCATTTCTTCAATTTGTTTATTACCATCATTCATACACTCGTGAAGTCAACTCTAGTTTTATATATACTATCTTTTCAAAATTTGACCGTAAGAAGTTTGACCTCAACCTCGTCCAAAATGACAGAGACTATGGAGCCAAATAAAGGAAGCCAGCAAGAGGAAATCAAATCGCATATAGTGATCTTGTGAATGGGATTGTACCCGTATTTCGTTAAGACGAAACATGATATGTATGAAGGTTGGTGCAGTATACTTTGCGTTGAGGCGGCGGCTGAGATCATACTGATACTGATAACAATTAAATATTACTGCTAAGAACGAACGAGCAAACACTAGGTACCCATACAAATGACATGACATGTAATGATAATAATGCAATAACACTGACGCCGTATCTATTGGCTACCGTACCATTTCAACAACAAATTAAAATGCATCATGAAAGGTTAGTTTGGCTGCCCAATTATTTGACTCGTTCTTCTTCCTTGTTGCTTCCCCATTTCAACAAACTAGTACTAGCTAGCTAGCAATGCAATGAGCTGGTGGCCAGTCATGCTCATGCATATGCATGACAGGAGCTTTGTCATGCAGTAGCCGCAGCTCAGCTCATCAGTCATCATGAATGTTAACCTAACAAAACCTACCACACGGCTGAGCTAGCAGAGAACCGGCCAAGTGAATATATATATAATGGAAGTATGTATTATACGCATGCGTGCAGCATCATGTAAATATCTTATGCTCGATCGATCGATATATGCTGGCCTTTCCAGAAACAACAATTTGAACACCAAAAAAGTATATATTGCTATACATATTTATCATCGCTAGCTGATGATTCTTAAGCGCATATATATATATATATATATATATATATATATATATATATATATATATATATATATATAGAGAGAGCATGGTATGGTATGTGGACTCACCACATGCATGTGCAGGAAGTTAGCAACTGACGGAATATATGATTCTCCTTGTTAATTGGCCACCCATCGGATAGATAGGTTACTGTAACAGCGTACAGTTCGATTTCTGAATCTGCTTAGCAGATATGATTATGTAATATCTATCGCGTGCATCATTCGGTCAACCTATAGCTACTTTTTATTTTGGGTGGGACAGTGGGAGCTTGAGTGACAGACTAAGGTAGATTTTTTTTTTTGAAAATACAGCTGATTTACGTACAACACCACGATCACACAAATTTCAGTCGAACATATATATATATAGTGACGGAACAACGTAAAAGAATATTTAATACGATACTCTGTTTCAAATTATAAGTCGTTTAAAATCATAAGTTTTAAAAT